TACTTATTTATTTGAAAGGCAGAGTTGGAAAGAGAGAGACAGAGAGAGAGAGAGGTATCGATCTTCCATCCTTTGTTTCACCCCCAGATGGCTGCAGTGACCAGAGTTGGGCCAGTCCTAAGCCAGGAGCTGCTTCTGGGTCTCCCATGTGGGTGGCAGGGGCACAAGTCCCAGGCCATCCTCTGCTGCCCTCCCAGGCATGTTAGCAGGGATCTGGAATGGAGCAGCTGGGACTTGAACCAGCACCCATATGGGATACTGGCATCACAGGTGCGGCCCTACTTGCCACTCCACAGTGCCAGCTCCACCCCCCAAGCTACTTATAATAATAATTGAGATAATATATTTTCTTTCTCATTGAAACCAGTTGAGCTGGTGTTTTCTGTTGTGCAAATGCAGGTACAGATTCTTATCCCCATTTCACAGATGAAGAAAGTAAGAGCCGAGAAAATAAGCAGCCATGCCCAGGGAGAAGCAGCCTGGATGTGGGGGGTGCCAGCTTTGAACCTTCCTTTTCGGGAGGGGAACCTGCCCAGGCAGTGGCAAGCTTTTTTTTTTTTTTACAGGCAGAGTGGACAGTGAGAGAGAGAGACAGAGCAGAGAGAAAGGTCTTCCTTTTGCCGTTGGTTCACCCTCCAATGGCCACCGTGGCCGGTGCACTGCGGCCAGCACACCGTGCTGATCCGATGGCAGGAGCCAGGTACTTCTCCTGGTCTCCCATGGGGTGCAGGGCCCAAGCACTTGGGCCATCCTCCACTGCACTCCTGGGCCACAGCAGAGAGCTGGCCTGGAAGAGGGGCAACCGGGACAGAATCTGGCGCCCCGACCGGGACTAGAACCCGGTGTGCCGGCGCCGCAAGGCGGAGGATTAGCCAAGTGAGCCGCGGCCCCGGCCAAGCTTTGTTTTTAAACTTAGTGTTTCTGGGGCTAAGATATGCCCATGTCCATTTCTCCAACAGGAGAATATAGAAAAGGCATATGTATCTAACATAATGGTAGTATAACTGTGCTGTGTAGCAGCAGGCTGTGGCGTCCAACAGTTGAGGACAGCAGAGGTTGGGTGAAGCTGGAACTTACACCGAGAACCACAGGTCCCAGCTCAAGGTCATCGGTGACATCAGTGATCCTTGGTTTGGGATGCACCTGCTGGGTCCCACAGGTCACCACAGGATGGGGTGGTGGAGATTCCCAAGATTGGCCACTAGGGGTCGCTGTGGTCACAGCCAGCGAAACTTGCAACCTGGGAATGTAGGAGGAAGAGCCCCGGGCGGTAGGCGTGCCCTGAGGCTGAGAACACCCCATCCCCACCCCCTCTCAGGAGGGCCAAGATCCCTAGATCCGCTCAGGCCGATTCCTCCCCCTCTCTGAACCTGTTTCCTCTTTTTCAAAATAGGCAACCCATCCGGTATCTCAGACGCTGGCTTCCTCCCTCTTCCTGGGGCACCCCCCCTGCCCCAGGGCCCAAGTCAGTATGGTGGACAAAGACCAACTAGGCTGTGGGGCCCGGGGGATAAGGCCCAGTGAGTGCAGGTGGGGGCTGCAGCAGACTCGCGAGTCCTAGTGCTGTGGTTGGGAAACTGAGGCCGAGGGGCGAAGGGACTCTCGGTTCCCCCAGCTGCAACCTGGGAAGTAGGAGTCGGTATTTCCTGAAGTCCTGTTTGGGCCTTGGGAGTTAACAGGCAGGAACAAATACATAGGCCATCAGAGGAGCCAGGGAGTTGCTGGGTTGAAGCCCAAAGGGTCTCCCGCCTGTGGGACTGGCCACAGCCTTGAGTCATCCGATGTGCTGTGCGCGTCTCCCAGAGCCAGCTTAGGCATCACTGCTCAAACTCTTTTCACCCCGATACTCACTTTCCAGGGCCACTTAGACATCAGCTGGCCTGGGTGAGGACGGGGTAAAACCGCTAACTTGATTGCCGTCTGTTAACCTCCTGGCTCTGGGACCGCGGGGGCTGAACCGCCCACCTCTCTCCCTCTCCCCTCGGCTCAGCTGCCTGGTACCTGCTGGACTTGAATACACTTGCGCCTGCACTCTGAGGGGGCTGCATCCCAGTCAGCCCCGTGGAACTTCATGGGACGGCTTAGCAACAGTGTAGCGCATGGCTGGTTACACTCTGCCATTGTGATCCTGGTCCTGGGGCCCACTGAGCCCTGCAGCCCACCGACTGTCCAGCGTCAGCCCACCCATCACTAGATCAAGTACAGACCTAAAGTCAGAATTTAACGTCAGCGCTCTGCTGGCCGCTGCCTCCTGCTTCAGCGTAATCAAGAAACTGTCAATCTAACCGTCCAGGTCAGCCCTCTGCCTCGGGGAGCTCCCTGTTAAGGGACGAATTCGGGCTCCACCCCCCCCTTTGACAGATGTGGAAACTGAGGCTGGAGAAGCCATGTTCTCCCAGGCTGGACACCGTGGCTGGTTTTCCCGCCTCCTTCCCTCCCCTGGCCACTCTCTTGGCGAGCTGCTGATGGGTGTGACCTAAGCAGAAAGACTTTTGTCCACAGGAATCGCTCACCACCCTGGACGCTGGCAAGGCCTCACCGACCGGGGGTGGGGGCGCTGTGGCGCCGAGCTGGGCGCGGGTTCTTTAAGGGTGCCTCGGACGCGCAGGCAGGGGGCAGCGCAGGTGGAACCCGGGGCGCATGTGGGCACAGTGAGCGGAGTAGCTGTGGGTTGGAAGTCGTACTTTTGAGGTCACGTTCAGGAGTTTGTACTTGGCCTGGCTTCCCTTTCCTGAAAATCGGGGCACAGCCTAAGGACACGGAGTCACCCCGGAAACGTGAGTGTCCCCTCATCCCACCCCACACCACCGGGGGCGGCCCCCACGGCTCTGTAAGACTGAGTGATCTGTAACGGCTGCTGTGACAGCAAGTGGTGGTGGCGGCGTCGGCCTGCACAGCTGCAAGGGGCTGTGAGCCAGGATCCTGGAGACAGGAGGGGCTGCAGGGGTTTGCGACGTTAAGAGCTCCAGTTCTGCTGCTGCACCAGACTCATTGTGAATCCTGCTGTCGTGCTTGGGGAAACTGAGGCCCAGAGGGCGGTGGGACTCGGTCTCCTCACTCCGACCCAGAGCGGCCGGCCCGTGCTCGCACAGCTGCGTCTCTGTGCTGCCTCCTCAGCCACGTGACAGTGGGAGCCGGATCGCCCTCAGCTGGGCCTCAGCAGCCCCGCCTGGGGCACAGGCAGCGGCGTCTGCCTCACGCCGAGTGGTCGTGAGGGGCCCGGCGTCCGGGCTGGTTGCAGAAACCGCGGTGCTGGGTGACTTTGGCGGTGTGTTTCTGCTCCGTCTGCCCCTGCTGGTGTGACTGTAGATACAGAGCAGGCTCCCAGGGAGCGGGCGTGGGCCTGGGCACACAGGGAGTTTGTGCTAAGACAGGGTGAGAAGCCTGGCTGGGCCTCTGGTGTCCTGCTGCGTGCCAGGCACACAGACCCCGGTCTACAGAGCACAGGGGACTCTGCCTGGGAAGGTGGGTGGGTGCTGAGCCCGTCTCCGAATGGGAGGGAGCTGGCCTGGACGTGTGCCCCAGTCTCAGCACCGATGGCCCAGGACAGGCGGGCCTGGGATGCCAAACTCCAGACTGGTGTTGGGTAACCGCAGCGGGGGCTCCTGCCATCAGCTGGGCCCAGCTCCCTGCCTGGCCCTATCCTGGCCCTAGGTGCTGCCCTGGATGTCCCGCCCCCACCCAGATGCCCACTGGGTCTTGGTCTCCTTGGACCCCATCTGTGGGCTGGCTCCGCCCCCTTGGGGATTGCCCTGGTGCGGGGTCTCTCGGGGTAGCGATGTGTGGAGTGGAACCCAAACCCAGCTTTGTCCAGGGGCTGGGCCTGCTCCCAGTCTGTCCTGGGCGCTGGGTGCGCCAGGTGGGGGGCGGGGCTCAGAGCTGAAACCCCTGGTTCCTTCTCTCAAACTCCTCCTGGCCATTTCTCGGGCTCTCCGTGTCCGCCCCGTAAGGTGGGGGTGCTCCTCTGAGACTTCGGAGGTTCCTGTGAGCTCAGCTGCTGTTTGCGTGGGTCACACGTGATGCGTGAATGCCTTGGCCGCCACCCATGGAGCCCTGCCTCCTGCTCACTCACCCTGTGGGCTGGGGGAATGAGGATGGCCCACGGCCCCCACTCCTGCCCGGGACACGGCCCCTTCCTCCGGGGCCTCTGTCTCCTCCAAGGACCAAGGGCTGCTGTGAGGCTGGGAGGGAGCCTGGGAGGCACTCCATCTGCTGCCGGATTCGGAATCGGGATCTGGACGCCCCCACCACGGCAGCCCCGGAGCGAGGCTCCGTGCACAGGAGGGGTCCCCCAGACATCAAGTTGGAGGTAAGGGGAGGCAGGGACAGGACGTGAGGAGGACCCGTGCTGTGGGCTTTGACCCCAGCTTGCTGTGGACCTGCTGTGAGATGGCCGGCAGGTAGCTCCCATCTCAGCCTTCTTCCTCTCACCGCCCCTCCCCCCTGCTACACACAGACGTGTGCACACACACACGCACAGACATGTGCACACCCCCCGTGCCTGCAAGGGTAGGTAGTGAGGCTGCAGCAAGATCCAGTGCATGTGCCCAAACCAGTCTGCGCTCCTGGAACAGAGCAGGCCCCAGGGCGAGGGTGGGTGGGTGGGTGGGGGGCTGGCCAGGGAGCCAGCTGTCCCCCTGCTGCCGGAGCTTGGTGCATCCAGGCACAGAGGAGGAGCTGGAGGGGATGGAGTGAGGCGGGGACGCCACCCCCAGACGGTGTGGAGCGGGCCTGCTGGGTTCTGTTTCTGCCGCCCCGCAGCCGACCCCTGGCCGTGACCCAGTGGCATCCACACGGACACAAGGTCAGAGTTGGTGTCCACCCTGCTGCCAGAGCTGGACGGCAAATGAAACAGCGAAGGCGGCGGGCCCCAGGCCGGGGAAGCCCCGCAGGCGCTGGCCTCCCCCGGGGCCCCGTCCCTTCGCCGGGCTCACCTCGAAGGCAGCGGGGAAGGACGCGGAAGCGAGCGCTGTGGAGGAATCCCACGGCCGAGACACCACTGCGTTCCTTTTTTTTTCTTTCTCTTAGTTTTTAAAACAATATAGTGCCGACCGCACTTCTCACAGTAGAATATAATGGTCAATTTTAGTATAAAAAAACATTCTCAGAGATTTGTAAATGCACTTAGTGCTTGGACAGGCCTTGGAGAGAGATACAGTACCACCTCTGGAGCGCGGGGCCGCAGGGGACTTCAGGCCTCAGGGGTTCACGGGGGGGGGGGGGCTCCTGCCTCCCGCTGGGGGTGTGGGGCAGGCCTGGGCGGGTGGCCGGCAGGAAAGGAGTTGCACTGGGGCCTCCCAATTAAACCCCGGAGGTTGTCCCCCCACCCCGGAAGGCAAAGTGGGGTTCCTCTGAGTGGGCTCTAAGCCTTCAGGCCCACCCCAGCCCCTGTGGTGCCTTTGTGCGAATAGGAACAGGTGCCCCTTCCCCAAAATGCGGAAAACTGGAATAAATATACAAGTCTAGGATGCGAGTGGCAGCTCCTTGGACAAGGTGCCCTTGTAGAGCGCACAGCCTGCACAGCCGTGCCCAGCAGCCCTGTGAGATGTCGTGGAGGGAAGGGGAAGATGGTGTTCCAGGGTTTGGAGAACGGGGCTGATGCGGTTCTGTTAGGAAGGACTGGGGGCAGGGCAGGGCAGACAGGAGAGTCTGAGGGAGAGGGTCGGGGGCCTGGCAGTCCCTGGGGCTCCCTCAGAGTGCTGTTCGATCTGGTTGCTTGGGGAAGACACTCTGGACTTCCTAGAGGTCCCCTTCGCTCCTTCCCCAGGAAGCTGGGGGGCCCCGGCCCTCTGACCCCCACCCCGACTCCGCATCCTAGCCTGAGCTCTCTCCCAGAGACCCAGAGAAGCATTCCTGTCTGTACGGGGTTTCTCTCTCCCTGCTGCGGCCAGTCTGGGGGAGGCAGGGGTGGGCCTCAGCGGCTGACCCCGGCCCCTCCCAGTGTCGGGGGCAGCCGAGGGCGGGGCGAGGTCACCGTGCCTTCCCTACCCGCCGACAGCGGGGACGCAGCCAGCCTGGCGTCCCTGCCTGCCACCCCCAAGCCCGCGCCTGGTCCGAGCGCGGCGCCGGGCAGCCCTTATCTGTAGACGGGCAGGCGGATGTGGGCGTGCTGGTGGTCGAGCAGCCGGGGCACCGCCACGGTCTCGTAGCCTTTGCCCAACATTTGCTCCTTGATGCACGGCGGCCGCAGGTCGCTGATGAGATACTCGAGCGACTGGAGGCTGCTGCTCAGCACCGACGTGTTGCACGCGCTCTTGCTGGGCAGGCCGGAGAGCACGGCCGCCGGGGGCCCCGCCAGCTCCCGGGCCGCCCCGGGCCCCAGCTCGGTCATTGCCCCCGCTGCGGGGTTGTAGCAGTCACTGGTGGGCGTCACCAGCACGCTGTTCCAGGGGGCAGCGAAGTACTGGCCCACCGTGAAGCCGGCGGGCAGCGCCACGCCGCAGTTGAGGGGCGACCCGCCGGCGCGCTCGTAGGCCCGCCCCCCGCAAGCCTCCGGGGACTTGCTTGTTAGCGTGCTGCCGCCGCCGTAGGCGCGCAGCGGCTGGGGCGGCGGCGGCGGCTTCTGTGGCCACAGCAGGTAATCCAGACCGCCTTCCGCGCAGCCCGCGGGCTTGGCCGCCCCAGCCAACGTCAAGGCTGGTGTGGCTCCCTGGCCCAGCTCTGTGCCTTTTCGGCAGTCGGGCAGCCCGGCGGCTGCTGAGTAGGCCATGCTGGGGAAGCTGGGCACAGGGCCGTGCTGGGCTGGGCTGGGGTGCGGCACGGCCACGCCCTGGCAGGCCGCAGGTGCAGCCCCCGGCGCCTGGCACTGCTGGTTGAGCTGGTAGAGGAGGCTGTGGATGGAGGGCAAGTTGGAAGGCGGCAGGGGCAGGCCCCGGCCCGGCAGGGGGATGACGGAGGCCGCGGTGGCGGCTGCAGGCAAGCTGGGTGGTGGGGCAGGCGCCTCGGGTGGCTTGGCGTAGGCCAAGGGCGCCAGGGTGCTGGGCGCCGGGTAGGGCGCGATGCCCACTTGCACGGCGGCCGGCGACAGCTTGGTCCGCTTGCCCTCGGCGCTCTTGAGCACACTTTTGGCGGGCCCGGCGGGTGCGGCCGCGCTGGAGGAGGAGGAGGAAGAGGAGGTGGCGGCCTTGACAATGGCCAGCAGGCCCTGGTAGCCGGCGGCGGCGTGCTGCGGGTAGGGGCTGTAGCGCTGGCCGCTGGTGTCGTAGCCGTTGACGGTGCGGCCGAGGTGCTTGTGCTGGGGCACCCGGATGTTAGTAGGGAAGATCTTGACGGACAGCGGGCTGTTGGCCACCTTCTCGGCGTAGGCGTCCAGCTCGGCTGGGCTTGGGTAGCGGGAGGAGTGCATGGAGCTGGCCGCCGTCTCGCCTGCGGGGACGAAAGCACAGGTGAGAGCCGAGGCCACGCCTGCCCGGCTGCCTTCGGGAGCTCCTGGGGCTGCCCAGCCCTGCCTCCCCCATGCACCCCGCCATGATTTCTCAGCTTCGGATCCAAGGGTGAGGTGCAGAAAGGAGGGTGCCCATAACCACAAAGCCGGGTCAACTCTCCCCAAAGGGACACGCCCACCTCACCCCCACACGCCCATCCGCTCCCTGGCCAACTGAGCCGCCCTCGTGGCCTCTGAGCACACGGAGGCGCGTGCCAGCCTTTGGTGCTGGCGAGAGGAATCCTGCACCGATGTCACTTGCGGCCGGCAGGAAGCCCTTTCTCATGGCGTGGCCACCTGTTGGTGCGTCTGTCCTCTGCTCTTGAAACCGGTCGGGTCCTGTGCAGCTGACACAAATACTGCTGTGGCCCCGGTGTGGGGAGCTGTGCTGGGGCCCCGGGGAGGCACGCTCGGCAGGAGGAGGAAAGCCAGCGGTGTGCCCAGGGGCGGCGCCAGCTGCACTCCCGCCTGCCGCGGCGCCCAGGTGTCCCCGTGCCTCCACCCTCCACGATGCTCGATTTCATCTGTTCACTCCCCAAGTGAAACAGCCAGGACTGGGCCAGGCTGAAGCCGGGAGCCAGGGACTCAGTCCGGGCCCCCACGTGGGTGGTAGGGACCCGACCACTTAGGCCGTCACCTGCTGCTTCCCAGAGTGCACACTAGCGGGAAGCTGGGAGCGCACAGCAGGGACTCGAACCCAGGCCCTCGGATAGGGGCTGCACGTGTCCCAGACTTCCTTATGTCTCCACTCCCGGGGTGTTCCTTCCTTCTAGCACCTTTGTTTCCTTTTAAATATTTTTATTTATTTGTCTGAAAGGCAGAGAAGGGGGGCGGGGGAGAGACATAATCTCTTCCACCTGCTGGTTTACTCCCCAAATGGCCGCAGCAGCCAGGTCTGGGCCAGGCCAAAGCCAGATGCCAGAAATTCCATCCGAGTCTACCATGAGGGGTGGCAGGGCCCAAGTACTTGTGCCAGCACCTGCTGCGTCCCAGGTGCATTAGCAGGAAGCTGGGTCAAGTCCTGGCTATTTGGTTTCCGCCCTTTATGGGACGCCAGCATCGCAAGCTGCACCTCAACCCACAGCCCCCTGCTGTCGTATTTCTCAGCATCTCAGTGCCCCCTCCTGACCACCTGCTGTTTGTGTGCCCAGCGGGCCCTGCCACAGGGGCAGCGGGTTGCTGGCAGCAGACCTCTGGTCCCATCCAGAGCCTTTCCCTCGTCTCAGACGTTTCTGGGTGCAGCCCTGGCTGTGGGTTTCTGTGGGCCTGGGCAGGCTGTCTACCCAGTGGAGGAGCCTCAGTTTTTCCTCATGTGGAATGGGAGTGATGCTCGTCTTGGGTCCGCAGGGTGGCCTCAAGAAAGGTCAGTGCCCAGCAGGGGGTGAGGGCACGACAGGTGCTGGGGGATAGTGACTCCAGTGGAACGGGGGGGGGGGGAGGGGCTCAGCTCTCTGCTCATCTGTAAAAGGGGCAAAGGTGCTGGGCTGTGATGGGGAGGCATAAGCTGTGGGGGGGGGCTGGGGGGTCCGGAGCCCTGGGCAGCCGGGCCTGGGAGACAGCCTTCCAGAAGGAATGGTGTCCAGGCAGGTGCCGAGGAGGGAGGAATGGGGCAGGCAGACGCTGGAGGGTGGGAGGACGTCCCAGGGCTGCGTCCGTGACGACGCAGAGGCTTCAAGTGGGGCACTGCTTCGGCACACACAGGCGCAGTGCTGACGTCTGGGACACGCGTGGTCATCCCAGTGGAGGGGCGCCCCTCCCCCACACGGACTTGTGCAGAAGTCAGCAGGGCTAAGCTGGTGAAGCCCTGCCTGGGGCACTGGACAGCCAGCGAAGGTTGTAGGCAGAGGGCAGGACAGGGGCAGGCCCGTGGCCTAGAAAGAGCACTGCCCCCTGCTCCTTTGACGAAGGGAAGGAGGCGGCTGCGCGGGGCACCCTGTGGGGGCAGGGGCTGTGCCCCTCCGGCCTAACCTGGGCCAGCCCCCTCCTAAGTGGCCTAAAATAAACTCGGTGTGGAGAATGGAAATGTCACTTTGGCCAGCGGGGGAATCTTTCTCCGAGATTGGATTTAAACTACATTATACAAGCAATTTCATGGGCACTTAGCACCGCTCGGAGAGTCCCGCGAAAAGGGGCCTCGCTCTCCATTTCCCAGCCGTAAATCAGCGGCTGCTATAATGAGCACAGAAATGTCACTTTTATGCAATTTTACAGATGAACAAAACTGCTGAAATTAACTGTGGTAACCTACTGGAGTCAGCAAAAGCAGCGGCTGGGGGCGAGGGAGACCCTGTCTGTGTGCATCCCTGTCCCCCGCACTCTCCTCCCGAGCCAGCCTCTGCCATTGTGCCGTGAACACTCATCTGTCCTCGCCATTATACTTTGCTTCGGAGTTTATCTTGAGTATCCAATGAGCCACCAACTGTGAAAATGATTAAATCTACAAAATCTATCTAATGGGTGGAATAAATTAGGTGTTTAAAACCTTAAGCAGCGGCGGCAGCAGTGCCCAAGCCTCGTCCTCGCTCACGGGTGGAAGCAGTCTTGCTCCTGTCTGGCCAGTGGGGCTCGCCCAGGGTGACCCTCCCAGGCCGCCACTGGCTGAGGGCTTAGTGCACGCTGGGCTCTGGGCCCAAGGCTTGGCTCAGCGAGGCCCTAACGGCGCGGCCAGGTGGAAGGCGCTCCGTGGTCCAGGTGAGGAGGCGGACATGGTGGAGCCGTGGCCAGAAGGGCCTGTCCAGGAGCTAAGACACTGCTTGAGACGCCAGGGTCCCCTGTCTGAGTGCCTGGATTCAAGTCCCACCTCCACTCCCTAGCCCAGCTCCCTGCGGGTGTGCGTCCTGGGAGGCGGCAGTGACGGATCAAGTGTGTGGGGCCCCCATGTGTTCCTTGCCACCCACGTGGGAGACCTTGCTGTAGTTCCTGGCTCCTGGCTTGGCCTGGCCCAGCCCGGCTTTTGTGGGCATTTGTGGAATGAACCAGTGTGTGTGTGTGTGTGTCTGCCTTTCAGATAAATAAGAAGAAAAGAGGAAGGCAGGTGGGGAGCTCTAAAGCGTGTCCACAGACTCTGACACAAATAGCAGCATCTTGTTTCCCTTTGCCTACATCTGTGGAACAGGGCACAGCCGAGTGAGGCCGTGGGACTCGGGGGCTGCGGTGGAAAAGGTCACGTGGCCTCCACCGGGACGTGGCTCCCTGGCTCGCAGGCCATACAGAGAGGCCACGTGTGAGTGAACAAGCCCTCAGGAGATTCCAGGCACCCAGCCCCGACAGAGCAGAGATGCCGTCCACACTGTGCCCTGTCCCTGTTCCCAAGCACGACACGTGGCTGTGGGAGACCACGAGTTCTAGAAGGCGGTGTGACGTGGCAGAGTGACCAGCCCGGCAGGGTCTGGGGGCCATGAGTGACAGGAGGGCGGTGCGCCTGGCCCGGACACGGGCTGCAGGGCGGCTTCTCTGGGAAGGGGGCAGGGGCTGGTGGGGGGGGGCGGGGAAACTCTTTGCGTTTCTGGATTTGCTGGCGGCTGACTGCTCGTACTGAATTAGAATGGTGGGGGTGGGGGCACACAGCTCCCTGCCCTCCCTGGGGTGTGCAGCTTGCTCCCACACATCCTCTTCCTGTGCCTTAAGCGGCCCACTGGCCTCCACTGGCTGCTGGCCCCTGGCCTTCTCAGCAGCGCCTGCTCTGTGCAGGGTGCAGAGGCGGGGGTGGGCGGTGGGATGGGGGCCACGAGTCCGTGGCTTTGTTCGAACGCCAGCTCTGCTGAACTCTGACCGTGTGGCCTCCGGCCCGCGCTGCCCTCCTCTGAGCCCGTTCTTGTGTAAACTGGGTCAGTGCTGCCGCCAGGCTCAGAGGGTTTGGGTGAGGAGCAAAGGGCCGGCCTCGCCCAGTGCCTGCCCCCCGTGAGTGCCACGCTGGATGGTGCTGGGGATTCCTCAAAGCTCCCAGCTGCTTCTCTCCGTCACCCCCACCCCCAACACAACCACCACCACGGAGCCAGTGTGTGTGAGGTCTGAGCTGCTCAGGGTGGCTGGCACCGAGGCCCTGGCCACCTGGCCCAGTCCTTCTCCCAGACCCCTGGGTGCGCACTCAGTGTCCTGCCGCACGCTCCCCCAGGCCAGGCATTGCGTCAGGCCCTCGGCTTGCGCTCGTGTGGTCCCTGCAGCAGGGAGGTGGGCCTGGGCTTTCAGAAGGGGAGGTTACGACGCTCGAGGGACAGGGCGAGTGAGGATGGGCAGGGACTGAGGGGATGTGGAGGCGGGCCTGGGCCACCGGAGAACTCTTAGGTTCAAACAACAGTCAAGAAGGGGGTGTCAGGCACAGCTAAGCTTACAGGCCTCTTGGGACACCTACATTCTACAGCCGAGTGCCTGGGTTTGAGTCCAGCTCCTGCTAATGTGCACCCTGGGAACTGGCAGGTGACGGCTCAGGTATGTGGGCCCCTGCCACCCACTGGGAGACCTGGATGGAGTTCCTGGCTGGGGCCTGGTCCAGTCTTGGCTGTTGAGGGCATTTAACAGATGGAAGATCTCTGTCTCTCTGCCATTTTTTCTTTTAAATATTTATTTATTTGAAAGGCAGAGTGACAGAGGGAGAAACAGGGATCTTCCATCTGCTGGTTTACTCCCCCATTGGCTGCAGTGGCTGGGGCTGGGCCGGGCCAAAGCCAGGAACCAGGAGCTGCTTCTGGCTCTTCCACGTTGGGGGAGGGGCCTGAGCTCTTGGGTCATGTGCTGCTTTCCAGGGGGCGGTAGCAGGGAACTGGATTGGAAGTGGAACAGCCAAGACACCAACCGGTGCTGTAAGAGACGCCAGCGTGGCTTATCCTGCTACGCCACAGCGCCGGCCCCTGTCTTTGCCTTCCAAATAAGTGAAGTGAGTTCCACTAGTGAGGCAACACCCAGACAGACGCTGGGCAGGGCCAGCCACACACCAGGAGGGTGC